ATATCAACCATTTTCGAATGAAGTTCCATGAAAAAGCTGTGCTGTGATGGTGTGCCTCTCGAAGGGGTACCACATGGTATGTCGTTTTTCCAAAGCAGCTTTTTTGAAAATCCCACCAACGTGTTGATTGAGGTAAGAACACACGATATGCATGATGGACCTATGTTTTTTTGAATTATTCTGTGATCTTATTTTGTAATTTCAAGCTTTCTATTCAAGGCGATCTCTCGCAAACTTATGTTATTTTCAAATTATGAGTCATGTGGACTCTGAAATTCTGAACAACTACAAAAAATTGATTCATTTGAAGTGTTTGATATTTTTGATATCTAACACTTCTTGCAAGGATAATTTTTTTAAATGAATGCTCAAAACTATGCTTCTCTTGCTTTTGATGAGTATGATAAATTGTCTATTCGAAGTTAGAAACTTTTTTGTGCTTAAAGTCGATACGTTCAAAATGCTCAAAGATTTTACATGATAAATTTACCTGTAATTCACTAATTCCACCAAATAATGGTCAAGATAAACTAATTTGATGAATGATATGGTATTACTTGAGAATGCTAAATGAGACGTGACAAGATGACAACAGGCAAACCCTATCTTATAGACAGCTTCCTGTTTATACATTATGGGATGAGTATAAAAATTTCATCTCCTCAAGGTAAAGAGTTTTCTCGTGAAAGGTACACAGACCAAAATGATGAGAAGCATTTCACTTCTTTTGCCTAAACAGAGTAGGTAGACCATTGTTTAACCCTCTTTGAGCTTGAATACTGGAAGAATTTCTCTCAAATTAACCCTGTTAAGAACTACCCCACACTGGGATAGAACGGAGGTAAAAGTGTTACTACAAGGTGAGCAAAATGGAATGAACTTTCTTGCCCTCACTTGAATCAATTTTCGAATGTCTTTATTGCAGATGAACTTAAATGAAAATTTAAGTGTCCTAAGGTGTTTAAGAGCATTCGTTTCTCTATCACACACACTTTTATCCCTTGCATAGTTGCATAGTCCAATTGAGCCTACAAATTCATTTCTAAGAACCACTTGCTGATCATTCCCATACGGGGGCAAGGCGGATGACTTGTCACCATGGAACGGCATGACCGGAGTGTCGCATGAAGATAAAGATCCCAAGAGTCCCAAGCATTCTCTATTATTGTTATTATTATAGGACCCAAAGTAGGAACTCTCTCTTATCCTTTAACCACGTAATTTATGGGGAAATGATTAATGTTATTCCAATCTATCAATGGGATAACTGTGTTCTCTAGGGAAAACTTCCTGCAAAACGTGATTCTTTACTTTTGACCAACAAAAACAAACATGATTCTTTACCAGAATTTGTTTTTCATGCACATAGGACCACCGGATCATATCTATCATAACCATTGATCTTGCATACCGCACAAATGAGTCCCACATGATCAATGGCTGTAATTGCATTGGATCGATGGATCGAGTCTAGACAAGAGATTCTTTTTTTACTGTAACGTACTTTCAATGGTCATAGTTTGTTGTAGTTGGAAAATTGCTTCTATTTAAAAGTCCAGAGGCAATGAACTTACGAGTCATGTCTTTTTGTATGTAATATTTCGGTAGTTGGCAATTAATATGGTTAGGACCGCCTATAAGATGGATTCCTCTCCCTTTCTAGAGTTTTCTAGTTAATATTATGGATCGGTCGCATACTAATATGATGCAATAAGTCAATCACAATGTCCACGTGATACAAAATTCTAGTAAACCTTGCGTTTGAGTTTTGAAAGTTAACGCCACATTGTTATGAAAAAGGATTTGATTTGTAAATAATTAATTACCCATAAAATGATATAAATCAGTCATATACTTTTTGGTTACTTAATAAGTATCATGAGGTGACACCTGCTTAATATCTGTAAATTTATATAATTGTAGCGCATGATGGTGCAATCTAAATCTCTAAACTATTAGTGGTACTCTGTGCAATAAGGAAGATCACTTATAGGAGGCGGTGAATAGAATAATAATTGTATTTTAAATTTGATTAAAATCATCCTATTTTACAAGGGTAATTGATCTGCTTTCACCACCCCAAAAATCTTGACACGTAGTCCAAAATAAGTTATTAGCATTTTTTTTATAGTATAAAGTATCCGGACCGTTCGACTTATACAAATGTCACGAACACACAATTCACTTGTTCACGAGCATCGTGTAAAGCTCTTCTATAGTGTGGCTGGCGAGACTTATCCTAAATATGAGACGTCGTGATGGAATTTATCGCAGACAAATTGGATGTTTGATCATTCGGTCAATAGTTCGAGATCGTAAGACAAGATGATTTGACCGGAAGTTATCACCAAATGGTTTTGATCATAGAGGCCTTTCGAACCATCATGTCATACATTAGATGCAAAGACCAGTGCGCCCCTCTCTCTTAACCAAACTAAAGTAAAATGTGTTACACCAGAAAAATTAAATATAGAAAAGCACCTTGAATTAATGGGTTAATTCCAAAAAAAAGTACTAACTTTATGTCGAGGGATAATTCTGGCCTGAACTTTTTTTTGTTCCATAAAAAAGCACCAATTTTAGGTCGAGGGAGAATTCTAGCCCGAACTTTTTTTTGTCCCATAAAAAAGCACCAACTTTAGGTCGAGGGACAATTCTGGCCCGAATTTTTTTTGTCTCGTAAAAAAGCACAAACTTTCATTTAAATCCCAAATTTGGCATCCCATTGACTTTCTGTCTGAAGTTACCCTTGTTTGAGAAAAAAAGTTATGGTGGTGAGCTTGGCGAATCTCTTCCATGGCGTCTGTCGATGGGCGGTGGTCTACAGCTTCAAATTACGATAAACGACGAAGTTTGGCCAGAAAGATTCAATCTAGAGATATTTTTGACTTGCCAGGTGAAGTGAAGGAGACGAACAGGTTTCACCGTTATTCTTCAGCTGTGGTTGAGAGAATAAGACAATGAATAATGCTTTAAATACAGTCAGCAAGTCACGTGGATTTATTGCTAAGGTGGAATAGTCAAGTTGGAAAATCAATGGTTTTAAGTCAATAAGGGCTAGATTTGGGATTTAAGTGAAAGTTGGTGCTTTTTTACGAGACAAAAAAAAGTTCGGGCCAGAATTGTCCCTCGACCTAAAGTTGGTGCTTTTTTACGGGACAAAAAAAAGTTCGGGCCAGAATTGTCCCTCGACCTAAAATTGATGCTTTTTTATGGAACAAAAAAAAAATTGGGCCAAAATTATCCCTCGACCTAAAGTTGATGCTTTTTTTTTTGAATTAACTCTTGAATTAACCGATGGGGAGACCTTTATCTTTTTGTTCTGGCTTCGGACCCAGTTGGCCCGGCCCTGGACCCAAGAAAAAAAAAAGTAATATCATGCTTTGCACGTGAACGAGCCCAGTCGATCTCCGACGTTGATTTATGCGAGACCCATACAAGACCGACCTCATCTAACGGTTGAAATTTATCGGGATCTTGTGCACCCTGTTCATACATGTGCGGCTTGGGATCCGCACTAAAGCCACCGGGCCCAACGCCTGGTGACCAACAGGGGCGACTTGGCGCATGAAGACTTCCGAGTCGTCTCGAAGTCTTTCGGAGAACAAAGACGACAAGCCACAGTAAAAAAGCATACAGACGAGACATTTCTCAATGACGAAATGTGAATTACGCGAATTGAGGACGTCACTCGGGAGATTTCACAATGACGAAATGTGTTATCACGCGAGATGGCCATCGCTCGGTCCATTGTCTATGGCCATCGAGGAGCACAGTAGGAGTACAGGGGTTTTCCATTTTGTTCGAATTTTGTGCTGGGTAAGCTGATGATGACTATCAATCAAGGGCAAATTATAAATAAAAAAAAGCAGCCGATATGCTGTAAGAGTTATAATTGGCAACGCATATGACAATGGTAATTTTCATCATAAAATATGCTCGACTTACATAGAAATCGGCTATTAAGGATGCGGATGATAACCGTTTTGTTCATTTATTGTTCCATTTTTCTGTTTACTAGAATAGGTTTGAAACAGAAATCTGTTTAGTAACGCAATTTCATTTATCTATTTTCGGGACAAATTTTTAGCTCAAAAATAAGTTTGGAATAGAAATGAGAAGTGGAAATTTTTTATTTTTCTATTTTTGGAACAGAAACAGAAATAAAAACTCTTCTCATTATTCGTCCGCGCTGCCCGCCCGCTGTTTGCCGACCTCTGCCTCTCGCTGGCCACCGCCTCCCGTTGCTTGCCGCCCTCCGTCTGCCCGCCCACCGCCCAGAAATTTTGAGGCCTATCAAACGAACTTTTTGTGTCGTTATCAAACACGTTTTTTTACTCAAAAACTCATTCAAGGAATAAAAATAGAAAAACTATTTCTGGCTAGAAATTGCTCCCGGGAACAAGATGGTTATCATTCACGCCCTATAGTATTAGCCGTTGCCCGCCACATATCATGAGTCCGCATTGCCACAGCCATTGTACCCGGAGTTCATCATCGAATGTATAAGATTTACAAGCCGACATACATGAGTGAGTTACGATCCATTGATAGTTCAAAGTTTTTGTGCCTGCTGCTAATTGAAAAGGTTGTACTATGATTATTCACGTAAACAGAGGCCATTCGGTGCCACTACAGAGAGTCTACAATTAATATAAACATCATCATCTGGGCGTTTTGCTGATTTTGATTCGGAGCTGTTCGAGAAAACTTAACCTGAACATAACGAACATCCCATCTATCGTCAAAGTCATAATAGTTTGCATCATCCGAAGGAGCAGAAAATAGTGAGAATTACAATTGAGAACGTGATGTTCATCAATTCTCCTAATAGCTAGCTAGCTAGATACAATGGCTAAAGTCCAGAAACTCATCAGGCCAATCAGCTGGAACTCCTTCCGGGTGCGATTCAACGAGATCGTTCCTTGCATGAAGAGCTCGAGCGCGTTGCTTGACGACTGTATGAAAGAGGTACTGGACAGACGGATCTATTTCCGTATTCATTGACTGATGCGCCCATTTACGGTCAACCCCTTGTGCGGCCGTGCTGGTCGTAGGAAGCAGATCGGCAATTGGGCCGCCGAAAGCCCGGCAAGCCGCGTTGCAGGTATCTCCTTGCATGTTCGCTGCCGCTGGAGGAAGAGGATTGGTGTTTCCGTTGCTGCGAAAGCCTGGGAATCAGCGGCGTAGAAGATGTCGTCTTGCACAGCCACTGCCGCTGTCGTCGTAGGATTGAGGCACGCAGTGCCGCCAAAGGCCAGGGAACCGAAACCACAAGTATCTTGTTGCACTGTCGTAGTGGTCGTAGGAAGTGAATTGACATAATTTGCATCGCAGCAGATATATTGTGGAACGGTCCACGTCACAATTGGAGTCACGGTCGGAGGTGGATCAGGGACAGCGTCTTCGTTGATCGCTGGGGAAGCAGCCGGTCGAGCTTGAGCAGCGGCCGGAGTTGAGAGTGGCAATGCCGTGGAAGGATCGTCGATGGCATTTGCGTGATCGTAGCGGAGTGGGCGTGCCGCCTTCTTTGCTCGTCGATTCTCTTCCTCAAGTTGCACGCGGCCGTGCAGATTACGGCACCCGTTTTTGTTTACTTTCTCGGCGTATTTGTTTCTAATTACGCATAGGACACACTCTGTTTCCAGCATGATATTTAAACAAAATGAATAAACATTTCCCTCTAAAAAGAGATCATAATCAATAAAAATGCGTGTATGAACGGTATGATGGCAAGAATGGGCCCGAGCAATGTACATGCAACTTATAGTGAGGGCAAAATCAGACACTTTCTTGATCAACCAAGTTACAACAATAATGATTGTTCGTGGCTTTTTACAATTAGATGATTAAGCGAAGAATTCCTTTTTATACCCTAATCACTTTGTGGACGGATCATAAACCCAATTATATCATCGATCAAACCCTAACTAATGCATGAAAGTTGGATCAAAATAGTTAGAATTCATAAAAAGCACCAATTTAGATATATTATTAGGACACTTAACTCGTGATACCTATTTGGTGTTTATGAGTCGGGCGGGTCATGTCAATTTAAAATTATAGTATTAAGTAAATTAATCTAAATATGATCTATTAAATAATTGTGTCAGAAAATTCAATCCGAGCATGACCTATTTATTGAATAGGTATTAGAACATGCGATATAACTCTTTTTTTTTGAAATATAACTCATTAAGGCTGCGAATGATAACCATTCTGTTTCAGAAATCAATTTCTGGCCAGAAATTGATTTTTCTATTTCTGTTTCTGGAGGAGTTTCTAAGCTAAAAAACATGTTTGATAACGACACAAAATTTCTATTTCAGAAACAGAAATTTGTTTGATAATGGCACAAAATTTCTCCTTCTCATGTGGCCGGCGGGCGGCGGTGGGCGGCGGACAATCGCTTCATTTCTTTTAGAAATAGAATAAAAAAATTAGAAAATCTGGAAAATTCCTAAAAATCTAAAAAAAATTCAGAAAATCCATAAAATTTTCCAGAAAATAAAAAAAAGTCAGATTTCAGGAACATAGGAAATTTGTTCATTTTTTCCAAAAAAAATCAAAAAATTCAAAACTTCATAGAATGGCTTAGAATACCTGTGGCCATCCACTTTGAATGAAATTTAAATATTTTGATGTGCCCAAAAAAAATCAAAAAATAAAAAATTTTAAAACTTCACAGAATGGCTTAGAATACCCGTGGCCACCCACTTTGAGTGAAATTTAAATTTTTTTATTATTTTTTATTATTTTTTTGGCACCTAAAAAATTTAAATTTCACTTAAAATGGGTGGCCACATGTATTCTAAGTCATTCTGTGAAGTTTTGAATTTTTTGGTTTTTTTTGGGCACCTCAAAAAATTTAAATTTTACGCAAAGTGGGTGGCCACAGGTATTCTAAACCATTCTGTGAAGTTTTGAAATTTTTGATTTTTAAATTTTTTTGGGCATCTCAAAATTTAAATTTCACTCAAAGTGGGTGGCCACAGATATTCTAAGTCATTCTGTGAAGTTTTGAAATTTTTGATTTTTGGATTTTTTTTGGGCACCTCAAAAAATTTAAATTTCACACAAAGTGGGTGGCCACATATATTCTAAGCCATTCTGTAAAGTTTTGAAATTTTTGATTTTTTTTATTTTTTTTGGCACCTCAAAAAATTTAAATTTCACTCAAAGTGATTGGCCACAAGTATTATAAGCCATTCTGTGAAGTTTTGAAATTTTTTTATTTTTTTTGGAGAAAATGAACAAATTTCCTATTTTCCCGAAATCTGACTTTTTTTTTATTTTCTAGAAATTTTTATGAATTTTTCTGGAATTTTTCAATTTTTAAGGATTTTTTGGATTTTTTTTTTTGGGCGGCGGGAGGCAGCTGGCGGCCGATGGTGGCGGGAGGTGGCCGGTGGTCGGCAGCCGGCGGTGGTGGGAGGCAGCCGGTGGCAATAGTGAGCGACGACGGGGGTGGCCGGCTAGTAGCGAGGATGAGCGATGAGAAAAATTTATATTTCTCATTTCTGTTCCAGAAATAGAGAAGCTAAAAATTTTAGCTTCTGATTTCTCTTTCAAATCTATTTCTGGAACAAAAATTTGTTCCAGAAATAGAAATTAAAATTGTGTTACCAAACGGATTTCTGTTCCAAACCTATTTCTGGAACAGAAATAGAGAAACAGAATGGTTACCATGCGCAGCCTAAATGGGTCAAATCAGGTAAACAAAATTCAAATATGGCAAAAAAAAAACCTCAATGAGACGTTTGAAATGAAATTTAACTTTTATGACTCATTTCACGAGATTGACGTTCTTGATAAGTTAATAGTATTCTAAACACATTCAAATAATTTTTTAGACAAAAATAAATTAATTCACGAATTTTATACTTACTTAATTCGGAGAAAAATACAATTTTGAGAAGAAATTTATATGTAATGTCTCTATTCACTTATATTACCGTCATTATTACTAAGAAGTATAAAAATATAGCTAATTTAATTTAAGTTGGTCAATTTTACCTCATATTATAGAAAAATTGTATTAATGAGTGTCCATTGAACACTTATTAATCATTATGAATGAGAATAAATTTTTGGTTTTCGATAAAGTTAATTACAAAAGAAATTCTATCTATTTACTCTAAGCCTCAGGACACTCTTGAAGAGAGCCTATTCGATATTTTTTCACCACCATCTATTTATTAAAACGAAACATAATTGTGAAGGGAATTATCGAGAACCGAAACAGAATGATCACGCAGAAAACAGAGAAAATAGACGATGCACGAATTTACTTACCCAGGTTCACCCTCGATTAGGGCTACGTCCTGCAAAGAGATTTCACTATATTTTTGGTTTACAGCCACTCAACTTGTTACAATGATAAGAAAAACGAGCAAAATATATATATGCCCCAAACGGGCCCAAAACCTAAACCTATATGAAATCTCTTAATCTCGCATCATACGGGTCAGCCCAAACCCGTTGAGGTTTCGGGGGCGCTGCCCCCGAGCCCCCGCCCGCTCACCGGCAAGCGGGGCAGCCGTCCGCTGACCGGGCAGCGGAACCCCTGTCGAGGGGCGTTGCCCCCGAACCCCCGCCCGCTGACCGGGCAGCGGGGCACCCATGTCGGGGGCGCCCCCGAACCCCGCATTCTCGCACGCATGGGTCACATGTCGTCGGACAACACTTCGGTTTCCTAAGCTCACGTGGGCGTACCCGTGTGAGAAACAAGGGTCCCCGAAGTATTCGCCAACTCCAACAAATTGTACATGGGAAGACGTTCTGAAACCTGATATAAGTGTTTTATCATCATGAGGAAAATCTCACTCCCTCTTGAATTAATCCTCATAATATTTAATCAAATTAAATTATCCTTTTCCTCTGATAAAAGAAGAAATAGAAAGAAATTAAACAACTAAAATACGTATATCGAAGGTATGATAGAATAATTATGCCGCAAATGTACATGCAACCCAAAATTGAGTTACGCTAAAAGCAGATACTATCTTGATCAACCAAGTTACAATGAGAATGGTAGGTTTTGTACAATTAATCTATTGATCAAAGAATTCCGTTTATAACCTTATTATTATTATTTTTTTGCAGTTCATTGTGGACGGATCATTAATGCAACTATATTATCGATCAAACCCTAACGAATGCTTTAAAATTGGATCAAAATAGTTAGGATCCATAAAGAGCACCAAACTTATTAAGCGTCATTTGTTTCTTAACCAACAAAATTAAAATTGTCAAAGGCTGACCCGGATCAGCTATCACGTTTAAGACAATGACGGTTTATATCAATAAAAGTACGACACGTACTTCCAATAGTTAAAAACCCAAGAGGAAAGTGACACTTACATTGTGTGGATGCGTCGAGTACTCGCACATGATCCAGTGCCCATTCTCGGCCTTGTCGGCTTTTGCACTCAATCTAGCTTTCGATTTGAAAGAAAAGAGTTTCTTGTAGCCAACTAGTTTACCTTGCGAATCCCTGATGTCGTCACTCCGTTCACCTTTCCAAGTACCCGAGCCAGCAGTCCTATCCACTCTCGATTTGTTCTTCTTCTTCAATACAGTGAAAACATAGAACTTCTTGTCCCTATCCTTGCCGAAGATCTTCCAGGGATCACCGCCGTACACGTTGCAATCGCGGACAACGTTTGGATCGGGCAGAGGTTCTTGATTCAGCCTCTGCAACAAGTAATGGAAAAAGAGGTGTTCGTCGGTGGGTTGAAAGTAAAACCCGGGATGCCTAATCGCCATTGTAATGAACTTGAAAGCGATGACGGTATCTCTCCTTCTTCCTCTCTGGCTTTTTGTTGTTTTCGAATGAGAGGTGTTTGCTCTCATGTGCTTTTATAAACGTGGACCGATTACTTTGTAGTGAAGGCCATGGGATTAATGTACACAGGTAGGAGATCTCACTTCCATATTTGATGGAGTATTTATCTTGAATCTTGATAATTCTTAAATAAACTATATTGCGTGGCGTGAGATTATTGGAGGACGTAATAACTAAGACAAATAAAGCCGTTACTATTGATTTTGCAATAGGATAATCCTTGTAATTAACCATTAGATTTAATTATGTGATTTGCTTATATCCAACTGGCACACAAGTAGTTGGATTAGATTCTTGTTCACCTAACTGGTTCGGACGATCTTCTGTAATGCCCGAATGAAGAAGCGGAGAACACATTCATGAATCAATTCCATGCTTCCAGATTTTAAAAGCTTGACCAGATTTGACAGCAAATCAAATTCCATTGAAAATTCCATCAATTGGTTCCACTGGTGGAGTATTTCAAGGTTATTTCAAAATTTCGTGGCCACCCGGTTAGAAAGTGCCAAGAAAAACGAGTAACCCTACTATAGATTTAGGAAAATTAGTACCGTAACTATGCGGAATTTTTTTTAAAAAATCAGTTACTTAAATAACCATAGTCGTTACTTTGCCAAGATAAAATTAGAATTTTAGAACTGATCACGTCTCTGCTGAATTGGGCTAATAATAGATTCATAAATAGTAAACATTGTTTTGTCGAAGTTCATTTAGATATTTTGCACTAATGTCTATGCTTGAATTTTGAGCTGTCGTTCCAAATTTGGACACAATGGTTTGTGGAAGGTAGAAGGAGAAATATATTAGTTCATACGCACTAGAGATCATTTGTTTCTTAGGGTACATTTGTTTCGCAGAAAATGAATAATTTGGAAAATATTTTCTTAAAAAAGTTTGCTTCTATCATTCAAAAAAATGAATAAACCAAAAATATATTTATCTTCCACGAAAATGTTTGGATATAAATTGTTGTAGATAACGAAAATATTTTTCATTGATTAATTATTTCAAGCGATACAATCGATCATTTTTATAAAAATATTTTTCAAATTACTTATTTTTTGTGAAATAAACGGAGCCTTAAAGTTAATAAGTCAAACCATGGAAGGTAATAGGAGAAATATAACTTGACTTCGTTATTTTTAAAGCATCTATAATCACACATCATTAAATAAATAGTTATAACCAATTGTGCATGCATGCACATCTCATATAGGACTCATGCATATTCGCCACTTCATCGCCATACACATGCCATGTCATTATCATGTATACACGTATTCATATTTTCAAAAAACACACACACACGCGCGCGCGCGGCAGAAAGGATCAGGAGTGTAAAGTGATAAATGTATTCATGTTGGTATATCCTTTTTACGTAATTATAAGGATCTCAATGTTCATTTCTACACGAGTAAAATCTAAAATTAATTTTTATGAACTTTGGAAAGGATTAGGTTTCTTATAAATTTCTCTTTTTGACAATGCTAATTTCTACATAAGTAAAATCTAAAATTAAAAAGGAACACGGCCCTTTTAATATATATGAGATGTCTACAATAAACAAAAACAAAACATGTGATATTCTTAATTACGATAAGAGCTTGGCTAGCATAACGGCATCGTTACAGACAAGTAGTAACAATGCGAGCAGGTTTACAAATTCTCTTTTACATAGGATGGGCAACCGGAGCATTAGTTTCCAACTGTTGAGATGCGACGCGCTAGTCAAATCCTTTGAATATCAAACGCTTGTTTACGAACATGTTCGATTTAATATCTCATAATTTTTAGGTCAATATAGCAAAAAAGTATTTAAATAGAGACAACGAATATTAATATTTGAGAATTGACAAATGAGAAAAGTAAATATTAGGTATGCAAAGGATATAAATTGTGGACTTTCAATTCTTTTAACGTTTTCTGATCATGTACCCAACGATTTAGCTCTTTTATCTACATATTGAAAATCTAGTTGGTCTCTCTTTACGGAAAAAATAAATTACTAGTCTCTCGGTAACTTTACTCATATACCAGTGGATGGTACTCGAATATCATTTTTTAGTTGTTATTTATCAAAATATCTATTTTTCTTCTTGGAACATATACGCTTAAGTTCATAGATTTTGTAATATTTACCCTAGAAAGCTATATTTAGCATTAGAATATTGTAAGTAAAGTAGTGAAAGTATGATTCTTTAAAGATGTGATAGAAGATTGACGTAAACAAAGCAAAAGAAGAATCACCTTAAAATGTAATACAAGAATTAGATCAAATGAATATTATTTCATATTTGCGAGTAATTAGATTATTTTTCTGACCTATTATTATATGTAAGGAAAAAAAGACAACGAAGAAAAGATAAAGGGAAAGAGAGATTATGATAATGTCATAAGGCCTTATGTCAGCCACCTATAAGTCTACATCAATGCACAACATTGCAGATATTATATTAGATCGTGACACTCAAACTTGCACAAATGCTTGTACAAATATAAGTCTATAGCAAATGGCAAACCTATATTCAGATTACATATTCAACCCTAGAAGTACTCGTGGACAATTAATAGACATGTTACTATAGTAATAAAGGTACAAGATGCTAGAACCTGCTAAATCCATTCCCAGATCAGAAAAGAGAGCTTGACATCTCATATTTGATAGGATGATTTGAAGGTGAAAAAGCTCACAACTCTCACAACTCAAGGAAGAGAAGGAGACAAATAGGCTTTTTTCTATTTTTTTTTAATCTTACCTCATCAAAATGATTAAAAGACTTGCCTTTATATAGACTTATTATATGACTCTTACTCTTAAATGACTCATAAATATATCTAGCATTCCAAGGAGATATATTCTTGGGAATTTACAAAATATTAAACTAGACATAGAAACATGAATAGTCATGATACATGTATGTGGGATATTCACAAATGGTTTAATTATTAACAAACCCCCTTAAGCCAAATTCTCTTCCATCAATCATTCCAAGCAAACTCCTAAACTTCCGAAATGCATCAATCTTCAGAGGTTTAGTAAAAATATATACTATTTGATCTCCCATTTTCACATGAGAAACTTCAATTTCCTTCTCTTTCACTTGTTCTTGAACAAAGTGATAACGAACATCGATATGTTTGTTTCGTTCATAAAAAGTGGATTTTTCGCCAAAGTAATAGTAGGAATATTATCGACAAAAATCTTTGCTGCTTTCTTCTACTCCATATGAATTTCTTTGAGTAGTCTTCTCAGCCATATTGCATGAGAAACACATGAAGATGCTGCCACATATTTAGCTTCACATTTTGAAAGAGTAACATTGGATTGCTTCTTTGATGACCATGTGAAAGTAGTATAACACAAGAAAAACACAAAGCTTATAGTGCTTTTTTGATCATCAATGTCTCCACCAATATCACTGTCTGAATAGGCTATAAACCGGAAGGATTTAGACTGATAGTAGTGTAAGCCATGAGCAACAGTCCCTTTGACATAGCGAAGTATCCTTTTTGCAGTTTTAAGATGAGATGACTTTGGTTTCTCCATATACCGACTCATAATTCCAACGTTGTACACGATATCTTGTCTAGTACATGTCCAATATCTCAAGCTTCCAATCAAGCTATTATGGTACATTGAATCAACATCAATGCCATCATTAAACTTTGAAAGTTTGGCTCCGCATTCCATTGGTGTATGAACCGGTGTACAGTTTTTCATATTGAATTTTTCAAGTATATTTTATGCATATCCTTTTTGGGAAATAAAAATCTCATATCATTTTACTTCACTTCTATGCTAAGGAAATAATTCATGAAACCATTATTAGTCATTTCAAATTTCTTCACCATGGATGTCTTAAAAGCATCAATCATTACTGGATTATTTCTTATAAAAACAAGGTCATCTACAAATAAACAGGCCAATAGAATGTCACCTTTTTTTTCTTCAAATAAAGTGCATGCTCACATGAACATTGAGAGAAGCCACTTGCCTAGAAATAGGCATCAATTCTAGAATTTCATGCTCTCGGTACTTGTTTAAGCCGATACAGAGCTTTCTTCATCCTCAACACTTTGTCTTCATGACCTTTCCCAACAAACCCCATGGGTTGCTCAACATAAATCTCCTCATCAAGGATCCTGTTTAAAAATGTTTGATAAATTTGTTAACCATTTTTAGCTGCAATAGAAATGATCAATCTAATCGTTTCCATGCGGATGACAAGGGCAAAAACTTCATTATAGTCAACTCCAGCCTTTTGCTTGTACCCCTTCGTGACTAATCTAGCCTTATACCATGTCACCTCCCCTTTCTCGTTCTTTTTGGCCTTGTACACCCATTTGACACCGATCGCTTTCTTGTCCTTTTGGAAGATTAGCAAGCTCGCATGTTTGATTCTTTTCAATAGCTTCAATTTCTTCATTCATGGCTTTCCCCCAATTTTCTTCCTTGACAGTAACATTGTAGACAAGTGGCTCGTAATCTGCAAGAAGGCATACAAGGTGAAGCTCATCTGTGGCTTCATAAAGCTCACACAATCTCCTCGACTTTGAAACTAACGGTTCATCAACACCATTTGAAGAAGTTGATGGTGATGGACTTGAAAAAGATATTGGAGAATAAGGTGAAGAGTGATCCTTCAACTCCATTTAGCTGGAATCACCATGAACATTCACTTCATCTTTTGGATTGTCTTCCCACATTCCTTCTTCATCGAACTTGACATCTCTTCTTATATGCACTTTCACAGTGTTAGGATCAAATAATTTATAGGCTTTGGATGAGGAGTCAAACCCGATAGCTTTCTACTCCTGTCTTCCAACTTTGATCTTCTCTGGTTCGAAACATGAACGTAGGAAATGCTTCTGAAAATTCTCAAATGCGAAATACTAGGCGTTCTCAAGCTCCATGCTTCTT